CTAAAAGTTACCAATGGCTCCGTCAGGTGACTCCAGGAACCTAAATGCAGAGAGGCCTTATCTCTGAATGAAACGCTCTGTTTCTAGGACAAAATACAAAGCCTACTGCACTTGAGGGCAGTTGTTTTTAACAGAGAAAACAGAACTCTCTGTGTTAGTGGAAAGCTATCCTGCCCTGGGAGGGAGGTAAAAAAAAAAACACAACAAAAACCCCCTCAGTAAGCTCACACTGTTCAAGAGAAAAAGAACAAGTGAACAAACTCGCTACAGAAGAGATTTTCTGTCCAGAAGAATCAATGCTATCACTCTGGAAGACTTTACATGAATACAAAAGAGGGTCTGAAGTTTGCTTTGGCTTTTAACATTACTCTCATAAGCAGCACAACAAAATCCGCACACTTGATTTAGAAAAGTGGCCTAGGAACGAAGATCCATTTGAACCCTCCCTTTGATCAGCTGCACTCAAACTCAGCAGCCCCTTCTTGACCATTTGCTTACGACGCTTTACTCCATGTGCTTCTGTAGAATAAGTTTCTTAGAAAGGACCTGCTCTCTACCTGATGAACAGACACTTATTCTGTAAGTTTAATAGACAACATTAAGGATGACAAAGAAAAGCATTTACTCACTACAAGCTCTTTGAAACAGAATTATAGTAAATCTTCTTAATACTTACTTTATGTAACAGTGTTGAAAATGTTTTTCTTACATAGGTCTTAGAAGGAGAAAACTGTTCTGTGAGCATCTCCTTGCTCACTACAAGGTTATACTGTGTCCTACTGAGTATGTCCTACTGGGCAAAAACTTAATACACGTGAGTTTTAAAATGTTTTGTTGAGGTTGTTCGTTTCCATTTTAAAAAAGATCAGGTTGAAAGATAAAATTGCTTCAGAGTATGTCACAGAATCCCAGCATGGTGAGAGTTGGAAGGGACCTCTGGAGATCATCTTATCCAATCCCCCTGCTCCAGCAGGTCACCCAGAGGAGGGTGCCCAGGATGGTATCCAGGCAGGTTTGGAATCTCTCCAGAGAAGGAGACTCCACAACCTTTCTGGGCAGCCTCATCCGGGGTTCTGGCACTCTCACAGCAAAGAAGTTTTTTCTTCATGTCTCATCATCTCAACTCCACATCACCCATCAGTATCTTCTCATTCCAATAGGACAGAGATTACTCCATCTGTGAGGGCAGCATATGAGACTGACCAGGCTTATATTTGTGTCCCATGTGCGCAAGCAACAGAAAAGAAGCCAAGAGTCTTGCTAAAGTCCATACGTCCTGCGTGGCTCCACATCAGCACTGTGTCTAGGAGCAGGGCTCACAGCAGGGATCCATACCTCCCAATGTTCAAAACGTGGGAAAAAGCTTTGACTCCAAGCCTTGTAATACACTTCAACTCATCATTATGCAAGGAAAAAAAATGATTCAGCTTATAACACAGGCCATTTCCACCAGTTCACAGTGCAGTCCCATGCCTAATTCAAAGTTTTGATTCTGATTTTCAACTCCTAGTCTCCCTTTTCATGACAAGCTGAAAGAACCATAGGTTCCCTGGGACCTTGAAGCTGCTCCCATCCAAGGTGAGTCTCTCCACTTGCTGGAGGCACAGCATTCTTACCAAAGCTCCTTATCAGAAGCAATCAGAATAAAAGCTAGCCTGACAGGTTTCAGAGCTTGAAGCGATTGAAACGGTCTGTTTGCAAAATAATTCCCCCAATAATAGAAAATTAACAACAAAAATTCCATGTAAAAGGGTAGTTGGACCTACGGGCATCCAAAAGCCAATTGAACTTTTAGCTAAAAGACTGAGCATTATAGTTTTGCCAGGAACTCAGATTCTGCAGAATGACATTAGAAGGACAGATAAAAAAAATATCTTTTGAATCAAAGAGGAAAAGTAGAGGATAAAAATTTTTAAATTTACAGTGAAGGAAAATCTACAAGAAATTAGAATAATTTCCTTAGCTTTCAAGAGACTTGAGATGTGACCTTTGATTTTACCAGACAGTGCTATCTCACTGAAAACAAAAGTGCACCCTGCAAAGAATGGTGCAATAGCATTGTTAATCTCATTCCATGCTAAGCAACATAAATTGAGCAGACCCTCACTATATTTAAGGAATTCTAGAAACGCAATCCACACAGAGTCCGTGTTCAGTGAACCTCATAGTCTCTCCTAGTTAGCTCGCTGCAAACCAAGAGGCAATTAAGACCTTGCTCTACTGCTGAGCCAATCTTGTACATGAACTTACACAATACTGGGGTTCAGAAGGAGGTTAAGCACGCACAGTGCTGAGTCCTGAGCTAATTCAGCCCTGCAGCAGAACCTGCAGCCCACTGCTGTCAGGGACAGTCACTGCAGGCTCCCAAAGCCAGTTGCAGTTGAATACATCAAGAGACAACAGGCTTGAGTACAAACCATCCCCTTGCTGGAGCTGCACTGGGGACAGATGATACTCCAAGCCCAGCACACAGCCAGGGCTCCCAGGTGAATCCAAGAGTCATCCAGCACTTCCCAAAAGCCATTCTCCTCCACAACACTGAACTTGCTTAGGACAGCATGCGTGCTTCTCCTCAAAGGCTGCAGCACAGCTCCCAGCTGGAGCACTTCCAGCTGGTGTTTTTTGTTCTGAAGGACCAAGCTACCACGGGCTTGGGC